ATGAAATAAATAAGTTTAAAAATAAGTTAGTTTCCAATTGTTTTTTATTTTTTTATAATGTATTTTAACTTAAAAAAACACAAAACCTAATATTCATGAATCTAAATTAAACATTACAGGTTGAAATGTCATGACAATTTCGGTATAACTGAAAAAAAGCATAACTACACTTCAAAGCTACTCTTCTTCATATACAGATGACTTTAAGGGCAATTTTCCATTAAAAACAATCTGTGAGATCACCGAACCAATTAAGGTATGTTGCATTATTTTATATGTTTTACATTTTATTTTTGCATAATTTATTTTAATAATTTTTACATTTGATATGATACAGGAAATGAAGTTTTTATTAGTTGCTTCCATTGTTAATATAAGGCAGAATCTACCATGGTATTATGAAGCATGCAAAAAATGTGGAAAAAAATTATCCCTGTTCCCAAAACCAATCATTCGTATACCAACCCTGAGGAAATTTCAAAACTATGGTTGTCGAGTGTACAAATGCACAATGCAAAAAATCTGAATTTCAGTCAGTTATAAAGTATAGACATATTTATTTCTATTAATTTTGTCAATCTTAAAACAACACTAACAATGACATAATTATTTTTTGTTTTAGGTATATAATTCCAATTAACGTACAAGATTGTACTGGAACCATTGGATTGACTCTTTTTGATAGGGAAGCAAGGAGGTTGTTAAATATAAGTGCCTACGAGTTGAAAAAGATACATGATGCGGTATATTATTCATACTTTAAAATCAGAAAACATTTACTTAATTTTTTTAATTTATTAAAATATATCTTACAGGCCGGAGACAGTGATGCCCTATTTCCAATGCAACTTAACGTGTTGAAAAACCGCAAGTTTGGTTTTGTTGTAGATATTACAGAATACAATGTCAACAACTATAATAACATCTACACAGTTCTCAGAGTTACAGAAGATATGTCCATTGTTTGTGAATTGGAAAGTAAAATAGAACTTATGGTATGTAATTTTTTATTGTTGAAAATTTACAATTCTTTAATGTTAAAGTACATAACGATTAACATATTTCCATTTTATTTTTTAGAGTATTCAATCTGTCTCCTTAAATCAAGTTGCTTTGGAATCCGATGATGTTGTACAGCCTGTTCAAAAGGTTTTTCATTTTATTTTATAAACTTTTAATTATATTAGTTATTTTTTTAGGAATCAAACATTTTTTTTTAAATTAGGATGTGATCTCACAAACAGACGAAAGTTTTACACCCTCAACAGTTGATAAGTCAACCGCAACAAGTCCTTGCAAAATATCAGGTGATTTGAAGCGCAACCTCCAAGAAATTTATGATGTTGATTCTGGATATGATTTAAGTTCAACTAAGGCTAAAAGAAAGTCAACCGCAGAGGAAACTCCACTCTTGATTCCAAAAATTGAAAAGTGAGTTTCTATCGGTTATAAGACACATTTAATATATTTTGATCATTTGTTTTGGTTATAAAGATATTTTAATTGCTTGGTATGATTTTTATTTTGGGGTATTTAGGATGTCAAATATTATTGGTTTTGAATATTTTTGGATACTTTTATTGTTTTAAATTGGACAAGTTAGTTGATTTTGGTTATAACTCAAATAAAATATATTGCCCCTAACTTGATAGTATTTCATATATCGCAATTAACAATTAAGACAAATCAATCAATCAATCAATTTGTATAATAAAAATGCGAAATTCTTAGCTTTCTTCCCCAATTCGCATTCTACTGTAAAATTCGCATTCTTCATTCACCCTCTTTCTTCGCATGTTCCAGTCATTTTTTTTTAGTTCATTCGCATTTGAGTTGTTTGTCTCACCAAATGCGAAATTAATATTAACCATAATCACCTTCGCATCTTTAACCCCAATCCATACAACCTCATATGCAAACCCAATTTTGATTTGTATTACCAAATGCGAACATTTTTGCTTTTACACGTGAACTGCATTTGACTCCAATATTGAACAAATCACATTTCACAGTCCTTCTTGACTTCGCATTTTTCTTCACGAATCTGTTCAAAAGGTTTTTCATTTTATTTTATAAACTTTTAATTATATTTGCTTGTAAAATTTTTTAAATTTTTTCTTAATATTTTAAATTTTTGGCCGATATTGCATATGTGGTTATTATTGTTCAAATGTTAAAGCTATCTTGAGCTTGATACTTTGATACTTTTACAGGTGAAATTATATTGTGATTGAGGGTGCTTAATTTGTACTTTATCTAATTTGTATTAAAAAAAATGAAAACTTTGTTGGTATTCTTCTTAAAGTAAAAAATAACTACTCAATAGTCAATACTACAACATTTTACTTTCATTGGTTTCCCTTTAACCAGTAAAAATCATTATTATGTAATTTTTTAGAATGGAACATTCCCTTTAACGGCTGTTTACTTAATAATTTTTTTCATCATATTGATGAATCCTACTTTTTTTCATTTGTTACCATTTAAATCTTATGGTTATACCATTGTACTTTAAAATGTTTTTTGGTTTAATATTAATGGAACATTCCTTTAATGACAATGTACTTTCATTGGTTTCTATGTAACCTCTAAATATCATAAACTAGAGGGGGAGCCCCCGCGATGCGGAGGTCGGATGAAACCTTTTTGGTTTGTTGTTTTCTCTATGTTGAGGAGATAAAACAGATGCAAATGTGAATACATACATAATTGGTTTTTCTTATCTATATTTATGTTGAAGAGAGTTGCTAATGTGACAAAATTATCACTTTATGTTGAAAAGCAAAAGGTACGGTTTAGTACCTGACACAGAATAGACAATTTCCAGGAGAATAAAACTTCATAAACGTGCTTGACATGTGGTTTATTCTGTGTTTGCATTACGTTTTATATATGGAATGACAAAATAGACCTAAACGATAGATTATATTTTTTAAAGGTGAATACAAGGCTTAACCATGCATCTGTTCATAAGCATAGTATCAAAAGAGAAAACGATTTAAAGAGACCATGGATAATAAGATGACAAAAGAGTTGGAGATTTTTTTGTTTTGTATCACTCCATATATGGCTGATCATCTTCTGGAAGTGTTTTGAGTAGTTTCCTGAGCTCCTGGATGGTCGTTTCAGTTTCCTTCTTTAGACTGTAAATCGCCATGATTCTTTTTGATGCCACGTACGTACTTTTGTTGATGACTTCCTTCATATCTAGGTAGTTGGTGTACTTTGGTCGACAACTCATGTTCTCCAGCACTTCGTTCTTCATCTCTTGGTTGAAGTAGTAATCGTTTTCGAGTTTTGTCAAAGCGTCCAGCTCTTCCTCCGCCTGGCCAATCAGCATATGAATGATGCTTTCCATTTCAGCCGGTTTCATTTTGTGGGAGTGGTTTTGGCTTTTGGTTTTCCGATGGGTAGTTTGATTGGATGTGGGTTGTAGATGTTATGTGTTTGTGATTTATAAGAAGGTCGAAGCTGTAAACAGGTGTAGAGGGGTATTAAATGCGATGCGAAAGGGCGAAGGGTTCTTGGTGTGTGTAATCGGCTGCAATCGATTGGTATGTCCAATCGTTGTAGGTGATGTAAGCCTATTTAGGATTGACGTGAGTTTTTAGATGTAGGAATGCTGATGTTTATCCGGTACATAATCTAAATTTTTTGTTAATTAAGAAATTTGAAAATAAGATAATGCACAATTTGATTATTGGAAAAATGGTCTAACTAATTTTATATTATATTTATACAAAGCTGTTGTAATCGATGTCTTCTTTATAAACAGGAACCCATAAAATGACACCCTGTTCTTTTTTAACCTCTTCATGTTTTGCTATATTTAAAAGTGGAAGATGTAAGTTAAGTTTTAAAATGTAGTTACCATTTATGTAATCTAGATACAAGATTTAAAAAATTACATTTAATAGAAAGCAACTTCTATGTGTTGTGTTCTTATTGTTTATTATTTAGGATATTTATGTTGATTATTTTAAACATGGAACATTTATGTCTATTATTTAGAATAACTATTATTTTTGTCACGATAAATATGTTATTTTTAATAAATAATCAATAACCAATTGTAAACAAAATTTATATCTTTGATTCTCTAAAATTAATTCATACATTTTTGTAATGGTTGCAGCATATTTACTTATCTTCTGTAAATAACCTATATTCAACCAACTATTTCCTAATATTCTATACTCCCTTTTTAGATGAAATTTGAATATTAAACTAATTTTTAGTTGTAATCTTTTAAATTCCAAAAAATCAGGAAGAAAATTATATCTAATAAAGATCCAACAACAATAAAATCATATAATCGTAATCTTTTTCCAATATTCAAGCATATAACTTTACCTCAAAACGTGAAATCCAAAATTTTGAAACACCTCATTCGTCTTCTTAATGTTCAATTGTTTCTGCGATTTTTTTTCATTAAGCTTACATCAAACTGCTTCATTAAAGTTGTAATCCTCATTCCAGTTCTACCTGCAAGATTTCCATATCCATATGTCAGGTTAGTATTATCAGTTTAGATCACTTTGTTTTCTCTATGAATTTATGGTTGAAATTTACAACAATAATCAATATGCTGGAATAGATGTTTTTCTAATTGTAAAAAAATAATCTTGAATAGATACATAAGATCAATAAGCAATTTATAATCATCACGATTATCGTGTATCACACAATTTTACCTTCATTGATTCCATGGAGATCTAGGGTTTTAACCCCTGATATCATCCGAACCCACGATTGGTTGAAATTGGGGAAACAGTAGATTTAAATCGAATAAACCCTAGGTTGGAAATGAGGATGATGAGTCATGATGCTCATCAGGGAAATAATTGATTGTGGAATAGCAAGAAGGAGAGTCTACCTTCGAATCGTATTTTTCAATCCTGACGGAGACCAATTCGGACGATTACACGGTATCGTAGATCTCCATGATTTTTTAGGTTGCCTTTCATGCGTTGTAGATTGCGATCGATTTAGGGGGAATCGAGGACAGTCATTGACTGCTGATCTTCGACGACCGTCTATGGAAGATTGGAGTCGTTGTATACAAACATTCAGACTTCTTTTGATGGAGTTATTTCTGCAACTACAACACAATCTTCCGCTTCAAATCTTATTTTCGGACACATATCTACAATCCGACTCATGTTAACTTTAATATCTTTATTTAAAGTCTCTTTTACACAATATAAACAAATATATTTTCTATTTTATACTGTTTCATATTTTTAAAATCTTCAATTTACTAATTTTTTTAAAATATATTATAAAAGAGTAAATTAATATTTGCAAATTTTGTTAAACATTTTAATAAACAAATTAATAAAGGTAACTTTTTAAATACATTTACTTTATTATCATTATTTATTTAATTCTAACTAACTTCAATTGTATTATATAAACATATTATGTACATAATTTCACATTTCATTTCCTAACCTATGTCTTCTTATGCAGAAAACAACAGTAACATGTACCACATGCAGGCCAAAGAGAAAAGAAGACAAAGAAAAATATATTTGGAAAATAAAAGATCGAAGAAAATAAAAACAATATCAAACGTTCCAAGTATATCATTACAGCATCTCTTCAAAAAAACCATTAACTATAACCGTATTAGTATTTTATATTCCATCTTTTACTGTTATATAGTTGAATACATATATTTACAAGTTTTATAAGTTATTTCTATTTGCAGATCAATCAACCAACATTGTTCGTCAAACTCAAAATGTCAATTCATTTACAACACCTGCAAAGCATAACACAACCATACAATACTGTCCTTCCTTTACAGATGTTAGAACTCCATTTTCTAACATTACAAATGTTATAAATCCGTTATCTAACATTACGAATGGTAATTATTTATGGTTTTTAAAATATACTATTATCCATTATGTAAATATTTATTTATTTAGTTAACTATTTTATTTTTATTTTATTCAGATAACATTGGTTTCGATAAATATATCACTTCCAAGTTAGCAAAGAAAAGACAGTACCATGTACTTTCAAATGATATGACATCAAAAAATGCATCTACAGTAACAACTTCTTCATCATCAATCAAGTTAAATCCAGGATGTCATAAATTAAAAACGAAGACAAGACATTTATCCCCTATCCCATTGATTGATTTGACAGAAGATGTAGAAAATATACATCAAGTGAACAATGAAAATCGTATAGTTGGTATCTCAAATGGTAATGAAAAAATAAAATCCATTTTACATTTCAGATACTATGTTCTATATAATTATAAAATTCATTGATATTTTATTCAACGCTTTTATTTTACAGAATATTTGGATCATGGTGATCAAGATGTTGTATGTCAAACATGTCGTGCAAAGTTATGGAGAAATGAATCCATTAGAGGTAAAGAAAATGGGAACACGGATTATTCATTATGTTGTG